TCAACGGTTCACAAGGAGCTATCCTATTTGTTATATTTATTTACGGTCTGGTGCAGAAGAGACGTGTTAAACACATGCGCGAAGAAAGCAGTAAAAAATTTGCTACAATTATGGAGGAATTAGATTCTACCTCATCGTAATCATCTAATATTAATATCTCAAAAACTATACTGCAGTGTTATAATATCGATATGATCTCACGTTAGGTAACAGCAATTCTCTAACTACACTGTATTTTTCACAAGTTTTTTGTTTAAAATACAAAATGTGGCTTAATAAACGTATTCAGGCCGTTAAATGTATCGTTAAACAGGAAATGTACAATTATTCTAGCAGTTAGGTAAAATATATACAAGTCTTGAAGTAATAAAGTCTACAGAACATGTTAAAATACTAAAAAAAAACAATTTTTAAACCATAAAGCTAATTTTTAGAAATATCCACACTTTAGATTGTGGTTAAAAAACAAATTTTTACTTTAACGGGCTATTATGTAAATAAATAGCAGCCCAAATTAATCACTCAGTAACTTGTCGATTCGTTCCGTCGTATCTCTGTCAGTGGGAGAGTCATACCAGAGAACTTGCACACAAAAATCAATTTAAGATAAGCTACCGAATGCAGCAGCTACTGAAAACAGAGGTTCTGAACTCTCAAACTAGTATCATGGCGCTGTCTGTCGTAAAAATTTTCAATTTAGAATTCTGTGCACAAAAAAACATATGAAGAAAACTTGGATTCCAATTAATGGACACGAAATGCATGATATCACAATTTCTGCTACGGCAGTACGATTGTCGACAGAAGTGTCCTTTCATGCTTGTCATTCTTTACTGGTTGTGTAGCCGACACTTTAATGGATTTCTCAGTTGCTTTGGCTCATATTGACTAGCTGTAGAAAATATTGGGGTTGAAAAAAAAAAAAAAGATGAGCTCACCCAAGTTAAAAGTGGAGATTAATGTGAAAAAGTCGTTTACAAATACACTAATTATCTAAGCAAAATAAAACTGTTGAAAATCTTCTCAAAAAATTTCTTGAAAATGATAACCAAATGTTCGGTCACATCGTTCCAGTCATATTTCCCTACGAAGAAATAAAGAAATAATCAAAAACTTTATTAAACCTCCGTAAAATCCCTGGTTCTTTTCTGCAGAGTACCAAAATGCTGATATTAACTAGGACACCGATACTGATTCGGATAATCGTTATCTGATGACTCAATTAACCGTATAGATACCGCAAATATACTGTTTGGCAGTTGCATCTTTGCGAGCTTAGACACTTTGGCAGACTGCCCAAAACCTATTTGTGACGTCTCCAAATACAACCGAGCGCAACAGGTGGACCTCAGGTCGTGCTAATTCAATATTTCATTCAGTATTCCATACGTATATATATATATATATATATATATATATATATA